TTCCTTCAAAGCTCCCTCAGGCTGATATAATTTGATATAGTGGTTTTCAAGTTCTGCTATTTCTGAACAAACCATACTCTCTGTAGGCCTCTCTGAACACAAGTGAAGATGACTTTGATAGAGGAAAAAAAAATGCTCTTTGGAACTGAAAACATTTCAGTTTTTCCAGAGTTTGGCAAGGAGGTCAGCATAGTTTCTTCAAGACAAGTGTAAAGATGAATGTTAAAGATAATATCAGACTTTTGACAAACATTAGGATCATCTCAGTTATCCATGAGAGTTTAAGCAGTTTAACAGCTGGAGTCATGCAAGCAACATCACCAGCGCAATAACCCCTGAAAATAAATCAGAAACTCCTTTCATCTGAACATTTCACATGAACTGTTGAGTCAGTAGGTAAGAGATCTTGACAGACCTTTTAGAAGGTCTTTCACTCAACAAGGAGAGCTGGACTGCACCTCTGAAAGAGCCACCCAGATACCACGTGAAGAATTGCTGCAGTACAAAAAGAAAATCCCCACGAATTGCACACCACTAGTTATGACATACCATCCTTCCTTGGAACCCATTTGTAAAATCCTCAAACAACTGCAACCCATACTAGAAGAAGATCCAATTCTTAAGAGATCTTTCCAGAACCACCCATCCTAGCCTTTAAGCAAGCACAAAACCTTCTATGGCCCAAAGTACACCGAACAGATCCAGTCCATGCTGGGACAAGAAATGTAAAACCTGCCAGCACATCTACACTCCCACAATAACCACACCCCACAACAGAACCCTCACCATTCCTGGATGTTACACCCTGCACCCCCAAAAATGTAATACATCTCATCCAGTGCACCAAATGACCTGATGGAAAAAATGTAGGAGAGACCAAACAACAACTGTGCACCAGAATGAACGTGCGCTGAAAATCTATCAAAGATAAGAATACCCAACTACTTGTGCGTGCACACTTCTCACAAGACAACCACTCTCTCTCCAAGCTCTTGGTTCTAATTCTCAAAGGGAATTTATAAAACACCTTTCATAGATGAGCCTATGAACTTCATTTCATAAATCTACTGGATACAAAAAACCATGAACTAAATATAGACATTGGATTTATGGCACATTATAACCTGCTTGACATCTGATAATCCCAGATAACCTGTCTGCATTTTACCAGCTACGTTCCATCACCAGGTCAATGTTCACTGCCCTTCCCCCACACCTACCGTCCCCAATCACTTCTGATCCTCACTGCCTCACATTTGCATTTTCACAGAACTGCACTTTGCATATTGTCTCCTATTCCACCATGGAGAACACAAAATACCAGCAGACTCTCCCTATGCCTGAAGAAGGGTGTGAGCGCCCAAAAGCTTGCAAAAAACGATTTTTCCAACTATTTAGTTGGTCTAATAAAAGATACCAAATTTACCCAAAGAACTCTGTCTGCCTATCAGATGGTCTGTACTTAATACTAGGCCTGCGCCCCCTGTCACTCATAATCCAGAAATGCCCAATGAGGTGTTCAGAACAAAAAAGTCAACAGTAACATCACTTACTGGGAGACGCAGGGAATTTAGATGTGACCCTGAGAACTACTGAGACAAGGAGAGTTGCATATGCCTAGGCCAGGCGCGGGCAAAATATGGCCCGCGGGCCAGATCCAGCCTGGCAGCCCATTCTATCCAGCCTGCGGGACCTCTAAAATTTTTTTGAAAATTAATTCTTAACTACCTCACGCTGCCTGTCAAAGATGACAGGCAGCCAGCAGCAGCAGGACCCCACAGGAACCTG